TTTTTTTGAGTTTTGACGACTCACGCCTTATAATATGTATGATGCTAATTTTGCCAAAAAGTTCGCTTTTGTTATCCATCATTTAATCAAGCATTTTTTGCACCTCTTTTCTTATTTCGAAAAAGAAATCAAAAGCACTACATTTCATTCTTGTTGATAAGCTCACTACGGCATCATCTTCATCATAATTTTTACAAATCCCTTTTTGGATAACTGCGTGAAATTTATATGCGCCATCTAGATGGACTTCATCTACTAATTTTCATAGATATGATAAACTCATTTGCCAAATCTTATACCATTCTAGGAGGCCCGAAAGGCAGCCAATGACACAACATTGGCAAGTGTTGCTTCCAATCTGGAGCCCATTGGGCGAATTCAGATGAGAACGCGACGGACACTTCGTGGACACTTAGCTAAGGTCGAGCTTTCCTTTCTTCCAATAGTTGGGCCCAACTTTTATCTAATATATGTTCTAAAAATTATAACATTAATGACCTACTTTTTCAATTGAACTTTTTTAAGATTTATGCTATGCACTGGGCTTCTGATAGCAGAAATCTCGTGTCAGCCTCTCAGGATGGTAAACTTATCGTTTGGGATTCATACACAACAAATAAGGTGAGTCCGAGAAGAATGCTTTCTATGTGATGGTTGGTTGTTGTCAAAAAAAAACAAATATGTGGAAGATTGTAGAGGAAATAACAAGTTGTGAAAAGCAAACATCTGTTTAAAATTTGAAGATTTGGGCCTTGGCCACTGCTTTTACTACATTTGTAAGTTATTATTTAATGAACTAAGGCTTGTTACTGCAAGTGCACATTGAAAATTGAATGGCTGAATGTTTTATCGAAATATGGCGACATTCTAGGATAAAAATTCTGAAAGTTACTATGTTTTATTCATCAAATGATGGTTAGTTTTAATAGTTTCACTTTTTCATGTGAATGAGTAACTTACCAGTAAATGGCTATGTTCACCTAAATATCTTGATTTTCCTTCTTTTTTTGAGATACAGTGAATAGGCTCGAGAAACTCTTTCAAAAAATTCTACTCTCTCTGGAGATGTTCATTGCTAAATGCAAACTTAGACTTGCGTCAGCTGAGTATATCTATTGAAGAAATGGATTGATGTTCGTGGCTCAACAGCAGTACACAACTCATCGATTTTCAGTCATGTTTCTTCTTACATCGCAGCTTGGAAAGCCTGATTGAATGGGCGGTTCATGTGTTGCTGCCGAGTGGGCTAACCATTGGCTTGTGCTGAGTCAAGAATACCTTTGTATGCGTTAATATGCGTCAACGCCACAGTGGCTTTGAATCACAGACATTGCATTAAAGCAACGTATCTGAAGATTTTATACAAATCGATGGTGTCGTTGTGTGAGAATGAAAAAGGTGTGTTAACGGCAGCAAAGTTCTGAACAAAGGAAAAAGTCTTAACCTTTTCGATTCTATAGATCTTTCCTGTTTTCTTTCTTGTCTGCATTTTGAGACGTGTGACACCGAATGATGTTATGAGTGAAGGATGAGCCGAAGCTCTTTTTTTAAAGTGCTATCTGCATAGATCAGTTGCATCAGAGGAAGTTTTGACCGTCTCCCATTACCTGTACTTATGCTGTACTTGGATTACCAGTCAATCCATGAGTTTACATAAATCTGCAAATATTGCCCGAAATATCCCCTTTATCCTCAGCTCCACTGAACCATACAATCCAATTTTTTGGATGCGCGTGCTTTTTTTAGGGAAAGGAATCAAATTACAACACAGTTTGGATTTAGGATCAAGTTTTTGGCACTTTTACTTTTAAACTGAAGAAACACATACAATATCATTTTAGTGATGTTAGCTTTAAATCTGTTCTCAGGTCCATGCGATTCCTCTTCGTTCGTCCTGGGTTATGACATGTGCCTATGCTCCTTCTGGTAGTTTTGTAGCCTGCGGAGGTGAGTCTCTTGTTTTACATCAAAATGATTGCTTTTTGGTGTCGGCATTTTACATTTATAGGATATCAAGGTGAGATTGTCCCTTTTTACCTAAGTTAGATTATCATGCAATTTTGGGGTTTGCCAAGCCGGAAACTTCCAGTATCTGTCTTTCGCAGCTAGAACTAGTATTTTGCTTAACATGGTAGTTGAAGAAGCAGAGCAATTACATTACTCAGATGGCCTATTTTTTCAGGATTGGACAACATTTGCTCTATTTATTCACTCAAAACTAGGGAGGGAAATGTGCGAGTCTCGCGCGAACTGCCTGGCCATACGGGATATCTGTCGTGCTGCCGATTCCTGGACGATAACCAAATTGTGACATCCTCTGGAGATATGACTTGGTTTGTATTTTTACAAAGGTTTTAAGAAATTTGCTTTAAACGAATAGTTACCATCAATGCTTTATTGATTGTATTGATAGGTGTTACAAATCGTTTGGTCCTTTATATCGCAGAGCAAACGATTTGTAACACTATTCAGTACAATCAAGAAATCCATTTTTCGATTTCTAAAAAAGCAGAAGTGGTTATTTGACTAGCAGTTTCGTACTTAATTCACTGAAAGTCTTGCATTAATGTGATGCCAATTTTTGCTGCATGCCTTTCTCAAAAACACTTCATAGAGCTACAGCAACCGATGCCTGTTCTTCGATAATTCGTTTCCTTATGCAATATTTCAGAATCAAGCATTCTGGCTTGTCTGTGACTTCTAAAGAGAATGAAATTATCATTCGTACCCTTTTATACCTCTTTGTCCTATATGGTTATGATGATTTAACCTTTTGTTAGATAGGCATCACGTTTCTCTTGTCATGCCTAATTATGCGGATGTGATTATCGATTTGCCACGTTGTGGTTGCTCAGGTAACCTAGGGGACAAGATGTCAAATGACAAGTTATTATAATGATGAAATTTGTCCTATTCACATGATTGCGAACAGTTTCGTACATAGAAGCAGTCAGGATGATTAGCGATATTACGAAATCACGAAAATCATGCAATTATCTTAAAAATTGTGGCCTAAT